AGCTAGATAAAGATGTGCACATGTGATTCTGCATGTTTGGTACCATATTGTGTGCTGCACCTGCCTTTTCACCCAACTAAATGACAAACGCAATACTGTTAGCTAATAAACACATTCTATTGTCCTCATGTTCAAGGGCTGCAGAGCATTTATTTGAGCCCATCCCCCATTTTTCTTAACCGTTCATCTACTGGTGGAAACGGGGTTTTCATGTGTGTGCATATTTCTCACTTCTGAAAACGCCCGAGCGAAGGTCTGAGCACTTCACACTTTTGCACAATTTTGCAGACTGCCTTCCGGAAGGGATGCGCTACCTTCCATTCCAAGTCTGCAAGAAAACACCTGCTTCCCTGAGTGCTTGCTGGCTCTGGTGACAACTACACTTTATTTCTTAGCCCACATGATAGGTGAATACGTATTTCGTTTTCATTTATTTGCTTCATAACGGGCTTGAATATGCTCGTTAGACTTTTGTTTTCTGTTTTGGCAAAATGTCTGTTTAGATCCTTTGCCAATTTTCTACTGAATTATTGATTTGTAAGAGTTCTTTGAATATCGAGTGTATTAAGCCCATGATAGGATTATAGATTGCTATCTCTTGACTTTATTAATGGTGTTTAAACCATTTGGAGGTCATGAATTTTTATGTTGTTGAGTTTGTAGGTCCTATTGTGTGTTTTTGGGTGCTTGTATGTTTAATATGGTCACACAAACCCACCCTGTGATTATGTACATATTCTCTGGTAGTTCCTTCTAGGATTTTTTTTCCCTTTTCATGTAAAGCTTTCTTCTTTCAGAAATTCACTTTGCAGTGGGGAATGGACTTGCCTCCAGTTTAATATCTCTAAAATGGCTGTTCAGATATTCCATTTCCATATTCTCACTTAGTAGAAATGACCACTGGATCACAAACAAAAAACCTGTGCCCCGGGGACTGTTCCAGTAACAGAATCTCTTTTCTTCTGAGCTATCTTTTGATTTCTTTGCCCAACTACACTGCTTTATAGCATTGTCAGTGACTGATACATTTTTAATATCTGGCGAGACAGGTTCCTCAATACAGTCTTTTGAAGAGTTTTCCTGGCTATGATAAGATGTTTATTCTTCCAGATAAATTCTAGAATTTTTTTTTCAAGTTAAAATTTATCCTACCTTAGGATCGTATAAATTTATCGACTAGATAAGGAAAAAATTATATTTTTTGCTGAATTGAATCATTTCACCCAATAAAAGAAACATGCATTTTCATTTGTTGAAACTTTCTTGAAGTACTGGGATCAAACCCAGAGACTTGGGTGCATGCTAGGCAAGTGCTCTACCACTAAGCTACTTCCCCAGCCCTGCTGAAACCTTTAACAATATCCTCATTCAGACTTATCTCTGGCTTCCTGTGTGTCCCGCACACTTTTGTTAAATTTATTTCTAGGGGTTTTAGGACTTTCTATTGAATGTTTTCCAAAATATGCATTTTCTAGCTTGTTATAATTTATGTATGAGAAAGCCACTGCTTGTTGTGTGTTATTTGTAACTGATCACATTCTGTATTTATTGTTTTAATATTTTTCTGTTATTTTGGGGTTTTCCAGGCGTGCAACCATATGATCTACAAATTATGATTTTCTTTTCTGCCCATGTTCATGACTGCTTTTATATTCTTAACTGCTTTGCTCAGTACTTTCAGAATCATGTTTTGCAGTTGTGATAAAGAACACTCTTAAATTGTGTTTTAGTGGAATGATTCCTGTGTTTTTGCCATTAATTATGATGGTAACTTTTGGATTGAAATATGTATTTTCAAAAATCCTAAAAGGAGATTGCCACCATTTTCAAGTACCAGTAATGGACGCTAAGTTTTATTCAATGTCTTTATGGCCATTAAAAAAGAACGGAGTGACTGTGTCTCTCTCCTTTGTCCTATTAATATCTTGAGTTTCCCTGGACCGGAAGCTCTTGGACATGGGCATCAGGTACTCGCCATCATGACACCAATTCGCTGTCATGCTACTCAAGCTTTTGCAAGTGACCTCTCTAATCACCTTTTGGTAGGGGTCCCTGTTGAGCTCACCACCCAGGTCATTCTGTCCCCTAGCAACAGTGGCCTTTTTTTCTTTTTCTGTGTACTAGAATTGTTTAGTGTGTAGGGATAATCAGAAAACGAGGCTCTGGCAGGCAGGAAGTCATGCCCACCCCTGGTTGGGACTGCAAACGGCTTTGGTCACTTTGGAGACTCCTATGATAACATCTACTTAGGTCCAAACCTCTACACCCTACAATTTCGTGGCCCTACTCCCAGAGCTGGACCCCAGAGCAGCTCCCTTAGGAATGAACTGGGAGGTGTGGGCTGGTTTCCACGCTGGCGTTTTTCACATTGGTCAACAACTTGGAGATGACCTAAAGGCTCTCAGTGACTCATACAATTGGCTACTCGGTGGCTGTTGAAATGATTGGATTAGACCTGACCATATCAACCTGGAAGATTCTCGGAAACTCCATGTGGTGGGGTGAGAAGCAAGTGAACAGGAACCTGAAACAACGTAAAATCACAGGAAGCCGAGCTCTGCGTGACGTAGGGAGCCAAAGTCTCCATAACGTGCCCGCAGACACCATCAAACACGCAGGGAAGGACATTCATGGCTTTTGAGAATCAAGGTTTTTGGCTTTGGAGGGAGGGAGGTGGGGGAGGGGAAATGGGGCTCAAGGCCCTCGGTTTCTCAATTAAGGACCCCGAGAGGCCTTCTGCAGTCTCCTTCTGCCTTCCCACCTGTTCCGCTCACCCTCTGAGAACGGGAGGGGCTGGCTCCCACGCCTGCTCCCGGGTGCTGTGACCTGGGCAGCACTCACCTGGCGCATGCTGGATGGCGGCCTCACCATGCAGGACACCTGGGCTCAGGGCTGGGCCTCTCCACAGCCCCTGGATCCAGCTCTTCTTCCTGGTGGGAGCAGCGCCCTGTGGGGAGTTGGAGCCTTGCAGCCCTGCGGGTGTCGCCGGCCTGCTCCTTCAAGCTGCAGTGCCGATCCCAGGCCACCCTTCAGTCCCGAGTCTCGCCCGCCCCGCCTGAGACCAGCCAAGCGCACGTCTCCTCCTCTCCCAGGTACCTGCGGCCACACAGGCCCTCACACCTCCTCACACCTGTCCAAGGGCTGAGGTGCTGCCCTTTGTCTTTTCCGGCTGCCCCATCTTCATGGTGTCTGGAGGTTGGATGTCAGCACAGGTGGGTGTGCCGGTCACCGGCCCAGGGGAGGCCTCAGTCTATTCCAGGACGCCTTCTCTAAGTGGTTCTCGACCAGGAGTGGTTTTGCACCCCAGGGATGTGGCAATATCTGGGGACACACTGATTGTGGCACCTGGGTGTGGGAGAGGGAGGTTGTGTTTCCAGTGACCACTCAGTAGACCCCAGGGGTGCTGCTGGACTTCCCTGGTGGGGACAGCGTTCCTCCCCAGGGTAGAGAGCACCCTGCTCCGTGGCTCTGCTACTTTGCCAGTGTGTGGAACAGGAAACCTTGGCTTGGAGGCAGAGGTGGGTTTGGACTTCTCTCCTGCAGACATTCATTTCACAAGTGTTTACACAGTGCCTGCTCTGCACCTAGAGGAGGCCGGACGATGCCCAGCGGGTGCTCCCGCCCAGCAGGAATGCAGGAGATGAGCGACAACCCCCACACGTGTGGGGCCAGGCCATCTCAGTGATATCACTCATGGCCCTTTTGTCCCCTAACCTTTGTTTTTGCCTAAAACTGGCTCCTGTGACATTTACAGTGGGATGATCCCTCCAGCCCCACAGAGTCTGTGCCCTGCGAGAGCAGATGGTCTCCTTTTCTCCCCCTTTTCCAGCTCCTGGCCCCACGTGGCACACAGGCGGCAGCACCCTATGCGCGCAGAAGGGAGGAGTGACCCAGGGGCTCCTGAGCCCTCAGGGGTGACGCTGCAGTGGGGCCTGGGCCCGAGGCTGTCTGGGTTCAGTTGGTGGCTTCTCAGTGTGACCTCAGTCAAGCCAGTTAGCTTCACAGAGCCTCAGTGTCCTCAGCTATAAAATGGTCATACGGATAATTCCTAGTCTCTAGCCTAAGCCGTCACACAAGACGTTCACGGCACGTAGGTGGTCAAACAACGTGGATTACTGTCCATGTCAGCTGGGACCAGAGAGGTGCAGCTCTGTTCCTCTTGGCTGAACTTGGACCACGCTGTGTGTTTCTCGCTGCAACTTGGTTTAATTCTAGGGCAGCACCTGTCCAGTTGGGGGGGTTCAGTCAAGGGCTGGAGAGTGGAGAGAAACGACACCCAGTGCTGCAGGTGCAGAGTCAGAGCCTGAGGCCCCGCACTGGGAAGCTGGCATGGTACCTGGGAGCATGGTTTCCTCCCCGAGGGGGGTGATTGCAGCTGTATAATACCCAGGCGAAGGAAGTACTCAAAGAGGGGTGTAGCAATGCTTCTGAG